AGCGGTATTCCGAGATTGTGTGCTGAGATTATTCGAGGAGCGTTACCGGGTAGACTTGGTTCCCATACCTTTGCGGGGGAACAAGGTTATTATCGGCATGGATTGGCTAAGCCCCAATGGGGCGGTGATCGACTGCGCGCAGCAGTTGGTGCGGATCAGGACCCCAAGTGGGGGAGAACTGGTGATTCAGGGCGAGAGGCCACAACATGGGCCCACATTGTGTTCAGCAGCGAGAGCGAGGCGCTACCTTCAGCAGGGTTGCGCCGGGTATGTCGCCTATGTTATGGACACCCGAGAGGCGGGTAAGACGTCAGTGAGCGATGTTCCAGTGGTACGAGACTACGCAGATGTGTTCCCGGAGGAGCTTCCTGGGATTCCCCCGGAGCGTCAGGTGGAGTTCAGGATCGATTTGGTTCCTGGTGCGGCCCCGATTGCAAAGGCGCCGTATCGGTTGGCTCCTCCCGAGATGCAGGAGTTGTGTACGCAGCTGCAGGAGCTGCTAGACAAGGGATTTATCAGGCCGAGTAGTTCGTCTTGGGGAGCCCCGATCCTGTTTGTCAAGAAGAAGGATGGGTCGCACCGTATGTGTATAGACTACCGGGAGCTGAATAAGGTGACGGTGAAGAACCGTTACCCACTCCCGAGGATTGACGACCTCTTTGACCAGCTGCAGGGAGCATCTTGGTTTTCCAAGATTGATTTGCGCTCAGGTTACCATCAGATGAGGGTCAGAGAGGAGGATGTGCAGAAGACAGCGTTTCGGACTCGCTACGGTCATTACGAGTTCGTGGTGATGCCCTTCGGGCTCACCAATGCTCCTGCCGCGTTCATGGATCTCATGAACCGCATATGTAGACCGATGCTGGATCGGTCAGTGATAGTATTTATCGACGACATCTTGGTCTATTCCAAGGCGCAGGAGCAGCATGAGGAGCATCTGCGAGAGGTTTTGGATACTCTGAGGAGGGAGAGCTTGTACGCCAAGTTCTCCAAGTGTGAGTTCTGGTTGCGCGAGGTGCAGTTTCTTGGGCACCTTGTCAATCAGAACGGGATTCTGGTCGACCCGGCCAAGGTAGAGGCCGTGATGAGATGGGAGGTTCCGAAGTCTCCATCTGAGATTCGGAGTTTCCTGGGATTAGCCGGCTGCTATCGGAGATTCATCCAGGATTTCTCCAAGATAGTCGTGCCCTTGACTCGGCTTACGAAGAAGGTCGTAGTCTTCCGTTGGGGGCCTGAGCAGCAGGCCGCTTTCGAGACCCTGAGGCAGAGATTGTGTGAGGCGCCGATCTTAGCCCTGCCAGAGGGCGTAGAGGATTTTGTGGTATACTGCGACGCGTCTATTTCGGGTTTAGGCGCGGTTTTGATGCAGAGAGGGCACGTTATTGCCTACGCTTCGAGGCAGCTGAAGCCTCACGAGGCGAATTACCCGACGCATGATTTGGAGCTGGGGGCTATTGTATTCGCCCTCAAGGTTTGGCGTCATTACCTCTATGGGGTTCGTTGTACCACTTACACGGACCACAAGAGCCTGAGGTATCTCATGGATCAGCCGAATCTGAACATGTGGCAGCGTCGGTGGTTGGACGTGGTGAAGGATTATGACTGCGAAATCCTCTACCACCCGGGGAAGGCCAACGTGGTGGCCGATGCGCTTAGCCGCAAGGCGGCGCCGATCAGAGATATCTGCATGCGGATGACAGTAGTGACCCCGTTATTGGAGCAGATCCGAGAGGCCCAACAGGAGGCTATGAAGGAGGAACATCGGAAGAGTGAGCGTATAGTGGGTCAGGTTTCCTCCTTCGACTATGACAGCAGGGGATTATTGACATTACACCGCAGGGTGTGGGTTCCATACCTCGAAGGCGTGCGCCAGGTTCTGATGGAGGAGGCGCACAAATCCCGATTCTCCATTCATCCCGGAGCGACGAAGATGTACAAGGATCTTCGTCTTGATTACTGGTGGCCCTGCATGAAGCGGGATGTAGCATGGTATGTGGAGCGGTGCTTGACCTGCAGGAAGGTCAAGGCCGAGCACCAGAGGCCACACGGCAAGATGCAGCCGTTGGATATCCCGCTGTGGAAATGGGAGGATATTACGATGGATTTCATCACCAAGCTTCCCAGGACCGCGCGGGGGGTGGATTCGATTTGGGTCATCGTCGATCGATTGACCAAGAGCGCTCATTTTATTCCGATTCAGGAGAGCATCTCGGCCGAGAAGCTGGTCGACATGGTCGTGACCACTGATTTCACGTCGTGGTCTCTGACAGTTTTGGGGTTTCGCGCCCCGAACTTCAGAAATTCATAACTTTCGCATACGAACTCCGTTTTCGACATTCTTTATATCGACGCGTAGGTAAAAACAAGATCTACAACTTTCATTTAGACTTCATCGGCTAATTTTGACTTTATTTTTATTATATTATTTTTTTATATTATTTTTAGTAGGACGAGACAGGAAAACTCCGCTAGAAATTCATAACTCCTTCATCTGACGTCCGTTTTCGTCTGTCTTTTTACCGTTGCACTACTAATAACGAGATCTTTGATTCTCGTTTAGATTGTTTCGGCTAAAAACCGCTCGATCTCAAATCGAGTATTCGGGCTGCATACTGCTAGGTCGAAACTTCAGAAAATCATAACTTCCTCATACGAAGTCAGATTTGGGCGTTCTTTTTACGCATGCTCTCGGTTTAACGTATTCTACTACTTTCATTTAGATCGCTAAGGCCAAATATCGCTCTAATGTAAATTTAGTATTTACGTCGCGTTGTGTCGTGCCGGTTCTGTCGCGAAACTTCGACAGGTCATAACTTCTTCGTTATAACTCGGATTTCGGCGTTCTTTATATGTACGAAATCCTTGTAACATATCCTACAACTTAGTTAAGATTAATCCTTCTAGATAATCTTCCATCAAAAAGTCATTTTTGATGCTTATCGTCTCTAAATTGACTAGCCCTGATCTACATGCGTTACAGTGGTGGTTTGGTTGTTATTTATGGCGGTAATATGGTGATGATTGTTGTCGTTTTGATGGTGTCGGGTGGTGTTGTTGGTGTTGGTATGGTGTTTTGTAGTGGATAGAGGGTGAAGGTTGTGTAATCAGGCTCAACACTCCTTTTGACCAAAAAAAATCAAGCTCACAATCAGAGCTCAAACACTCCTCTTGACAGTCAATATTTTAGTGTAGACCTAAATGATTCTCGAGGGCTGAATCCTTTTATTAGGTATGTGAATTGATGGATGGATGTTGTTACTTGTAGTAATTCCTTTCTAGGTTTGTGATTCCATTTCTTTAGTAATGATGTGTCATTTGATTTTTGAGGTATATGTAAGCTTGTAAACTTATACTCTGATCTCTGTTTACCACAATTCACAATAGTTGTATTATTATAAAGTTGTGCTTAATGGTTGTGTTGTTTAAACTATGTATGAACTATGGTCAATTCAATGATATTGTCATTTGAATGAGCTCTTTTTGAACAAAAAAAAACATTTTATGGTTGATCATACCTTCAATATTCATGTTTCTTGAATTACTTTATTTGTTTGTTGTATCACAAACTCCCATCAAAACTTATCTCAATGGTGAATTCATGGTTGGATCAAAGTTCATTGCCTTTTCTGAAATCAAGAATAAAATTCATTGTTATTTTTTACGCTATATAAAGTTTTCCATCAAGGGGTAATATGGTCATTTGTCATTATTCATCACAGTCAATCAGAGATATAATCAAACAACATGGTTTCAATCAGATGTGGGCTGCAGTCAAAAGTTCTAACTCAGTCAGCACTAACCCAGTCAGCAACTATCAAACGGCCCCTAAAAAAAACATTTGAAATTAGAAATCTGAATATAGTATTATTTCAAAAAAGAACCATCATGAATCCTGCTAAACAACTCCCATGAATTGGGCGATATCACTTTTTTTCAAAAATTAGATTCAATAAGTTTTTAGATAACGTCAACTTATCATATCGTGCAAATTAAGCAAATAATAATCGTGAAGCGGCCTAGTAACATGTTAAATGGTCAAATTTAGACAACAACAACAATAATAATAATAATAATAATAATAATAAATGTGATGACTTTTTAGCAGGAAAATAAAATTATGGGTAAAGGATGAAAAAAATTAAGTTATGTCTAAAATGAAATCTTTTATAAGACGGTAGTTCTTTTACCATTTGCTCTCAAATATTACGTATTTTGGTAAAAGAATATCACATACCTGTATATTTAGTCTAAAAATTACCTTTATGTCATAAATATGGCAAAAGATGAAATTTTATTATACAAACAAATATTAAATCTATTTTTTACCATTTGTCATATTCTTATTCAATTTGCCAAATATCATGGTTATTTTTAATTAAATTTTTTTCCACATGTGATTTTATGAGTTTTCTATTTTATTAAATTTCACATAATATTTTAATGTAATAATTACAATAAATGTAATAATAAATAGATATCAATTTCATTAATTAACTTACCTTTAATTTTTAAATTTCCAAAATTAAATCTTATTAATTGTTTTTGTTTATTTATTTGAATTTAAAAGATAAAAAACATTTCAATTATAATAATTCATTATTTTTATTATTTTCTTATAAATCTAAAGTTTTTATTTATTTTGACATTTATATTTAATTTTTTTTAAAAATTAACTCATATATCTCCAACAGGATTAAACAAACAATTGCTTGTGTTTGTGAACACCACGTCTAACTTTACGCTACATCACTTGTAAAAAACGTCAAAACAATCTTATTTTATAGAAAACTATGTAAGTCTTTGTGTCTAATATTTTATAATAAAATCATAAAAAGTTAAAATAAAAAACAATCAATTCAAGTCTCATACGTGTTAAGCAATATGTGGAAGACTATAGCAAGAGAAAAGGATCTTGTGCTTGTAATGTGTCCAAATATGACAGTATGACATGTCATCGTGACTCAAATTAGCCACTATTTTCAGCCTTGATTTACCCGATACGCATCGTCATCATTAATTATGCACTTTCCATTACCAAAACCCTCTCGCTGCTCCTACAAATCACTCTCTCACTCGAGTTTTTGCAAGCAGAGGGTTTCGAGTTTCCACAAACAGATCGTCAAGTCAAAGAGAAAATGTCTCTACTTCGGCTCTGCAAAGGAATCAACCCAAATGTTTCTCGTAAAACAGTTCCAGATTATCTTTCTTCACTCAGATTCTCGAGGTAATATCCGACATTTAATTTTATTTCAGTGATGGTTGCATGCGATGAATACGTTTAGTTTTCTCTATCTCCTTTTTCTCTATGGATTTTGTAATTTTAATAGTTCGATTGTGTTCTGTTTTTTTTTTCAATGTGATTCGATAGTTGAATCTGTATTCTTTCGTGGACGGCATTTTCAGTTGTAGTTCGATCATCACGTAGATGTATATGATTGGCAAATTAGGGCTTAAATTGAGTACTATAGTATATGTCTGGATACACATGGCAGGATTATGATTTAACGTTATAAGGTAAAGCGTTTGTGGATTACTTGAGGGCTTCGTTGTTTGCACCTTTTCTTTTCTGAATTAAAGCTTTTTTGAAGTCTTATGGTCCATTGATTTTCTTATTATTATTATTTATCATGGGATAACTTTTAGATATTATGAAAGCGCTATTTTGAGAAAAAGTGCATACGATTTAAAAAAAAAAATTAAATTACTTTCGAGCTCTACTTCTGTGCTTGCTTTTGTTCCATATGAAACAATGTCCTGTAGTTTCAAAGAGTAACATATATTTTGTTTTAACCATTCCTAGCTATTTGACTGTATTTTCTCTTTTTGTGTTAAGAATGTTCATACGTATTAGTTGTTATGCAGACTCATTCATTCACTGGGATTTACAACCTTGAAAGCTGAAGAGATTTCTGGTTCTCAGCCTGCTGAAGTACAAAACTTGGGTAAACACTTCAATTTTGAGTAGCATATCTCGTAGGTTTCGATTTAAAGTTTTATATGCCATGAAACAACAAGTGTAATGATTTGAAAACATTAGTTTTGATATAGTTAGTTTTGAAAATTATAATGAAGCATTTGTGGTGTTAATTAGAGCATGATGCTGTTAAACTATTTCCTGAGCAAGTAGTTTTGATTGTCTTTCTTATTATTGTAAACTGTGTAGTTTCAGTCAGACATAAGTTGTCAAAAGGTTTACATGGTTTGTCATGTTTCTTCCAGTCCAGGGCAAATGGATTAAACCTGCTAACTGGAATACAATCGTGGATCCCTTAAATGGAGAATCATTTATTAAAGTCTCAGAAGTAGATGAAAGTGGAATCCAGGTATGTATCTTGATTCTTGAATGTATTAAATGTACTTTTTCTTTATATGCCCTTTAGTTGATCTTATCAAAAGGTATATTTTGACTTATTAGTTAATAAAACATGCAGCCTTTTGTAGAGAGCTTGTCCAAGTGTCCAAAACATGGCATGCACAACCCATTTAAATCCCCAGAAAGGTTTGCACCCTGTCCTTTGATTATCAATGTAAATTTAACATTTATCTGATTATATTTTTCTACAGATACCTTTTGTATGGGGACATATCTGCAAAAGCAGGCCATATGCTTGCCCTTCCTGAGGTACAGCATTTATATTGAGAAAACAAAGTGCATCGATATTTGCCTATTCAATTCTTCTATCTGACTTATAAAAAGCATCATTAGTTTATAATGATTTTGAATTTTTTTTCCTATCTATTCAGGTTTCTGATTTCTTTGCTAAGTTAATACAGAGGGTTGCACCTAAGAGTTATCAGCAGGCTCTTGGTGAAGTGTATGTTACAGGGAAGTTTCTAGAGAACTTCTCTGGTGATCAGGTACATGATAGTTATCTATTCTAGGGTTTGAAATTCTTCTGGAGATGTAAATGGTTCATGTAAATCACCCGTTTCTGTTAGTGTTTTATCATCTGCATTTATGTATTTTCAGTCATGACACATACAATCTTCCTGAATTGATTCCATATCTGCATGTTTAACATTAACAGGTACGTTTCCTTGCAAGGTCCTTTGGAGTTCCTGGGAATCATCTTGGTCAACAAAGTCATGGTTTCCGCTGGCCTTATGGACCTGTAAGATTTTCTTTCACAGATTTATTTATTCATTTTATTTTTTAGAATCTCAACTACATGGGCTTTGAAGATGTAAAATCACAATATTATTTCTTTCAGGTGGCAATCATTACACCTTTTAATTTCCCTTTAGAGATTCCTCTACTCCAATTGATGGGTGCACTTTATATGGGCAACAAGCCTGTTCTTAAGGTTGATAGCAAGGTGGGTCCTATCATTTATGACATATAATTTGGATAAGTTGACTTATGTTTTGGAATGTGACTTGTCGCTTTTTAGCACCCTTTCTTGATATTTATAAACTCTTTTATTGTTTTATGAGGGCTTAGTTTGTATGCAAGTCTATATTAACCGAAAAGCCTTTTCTGAGTTTTATCTAATACCTTTTTATGAACAAGTTAAATGTTTAATGAATGTCATTATGTATGTTTTTTTTTCCTGATATATTGAAGCATTTTTGTAGGTATGCATTGTTATGGAACAAATGCTTCGGTTACTCCATGACTGTGGGATGCCTTTGGATGATGTTGATTTCATCAATTCTGATGGAAAGACAATGAACAAGCTACTGCTAGAGGTTGTTTTTTTATGGTGCACCTTCACTGTTATAAGTAGCAGATCTTCCATTTTTTTTTTGTCTAATAATGTCTTTTGGCCTTGTAATTTTATATAAGTTTGTGACACCATATTCAGGCAAAACCACGGATGACACTCTTCACTGGTAGCTCAAGAATAGCAAACAAGTTGGCTGATGACCTAAATGGTAGAATCAAGTTGGAAGATGCAGGATTTGACTGGAAAATCCTTGGCCCTGATGTTCATGAGGTACATAAACATCTATTATAAGTCTGCATTCTGTGTGAATATAGGACTTACTGTCAAAAGGAGGAGACCCTTGTTTTGGGTGCTTATCAGTTGTTTTATTTGTTCTTAAATTCACAGTATACTTCATTATAATAAAAATATGTCAAAGTTAGTTCATAACTGTAGTATTTTCATTGATTGACAGGTGGATTATGTTTCATGGGTTTGCGATCAAGATGCATATGCATGCAGTGGTCAAAAGTGTTCAGCACAGTCGATGCTTTTCATGCATGAGGTTAGCTGCCACATGCTCTCATTCATTACTGTATCTTTCCATAAGAGTTATCTCTTCTGTCCTGAAATCCAAGGAATAACAACGTACTTTCATTTGTTTGTGTAGTATAGCATCCTATTTTGATTTATTTCTGTTACAGCGTTCTACTTAAAAAAAAAATCTTATCAAGAAACTGTACATGAAAAATCTGTTATCTACCCAATTATAGAATCGTACTTTTATTTTTATTTTTCTTGGAACTTTTATTTGGGTAAATTGTTTAAGAGTACAATGCTGTAATAGGAAGATCTGAAAGTAGGATGTTACAATAAACAAACCAACAAAAATAAATTGCTATCTTTTGCATTTAACCCAAATCTAAAAGAAAATCTTAGTCATGAGTAAATAATACAAATTAACTAGAATTTCTTGAATCAATCTTTAAAAAAGAAAGGGTAATTTGTGAACATTGTTCATATCATATTTAGTGTTAGAATTCAAAATATGAGTTTTATTTTATACTGATTATTTGTAGAATTGGAGCAAAACATCACTCTTGCGTCAATTGACTGACCTTGCTGCAAGGAGGAAGCTTGAAGACTTGACCATTGGTCCAGTTCTTACTGTAAGTGTGTACTTAATCTGTAATGTCAAAAAAGAAAGTTATCCATCTGTATTTAATCGATTATATATATATATATATATATATATATATATATATATATATATATATATATATATATATATATATTGAAAAGTAACCTGTAGAAAATTGTGATGATGTTTTGATGTTTGCAGTTCACAACGGACGCTATGCTAGATCACATGAAGAAATTGCTTGAGATTCCTGGATCAAAGCTACTGTTTGGTGGTGAAGAGTTGCAAAACCATTCTATTCCTTCGGTATATGGTGCTATAAAACCAACAGCTGTATTTGTTCCTATCGAACAAATACTCAAGCCTGAATATTACGACCTTGTTACAAAAGAAATATTTGGACCATTTCAGGTAATATTGTTGTACATGCATTGGTTTGGATTGAGACAAACATTGCTTTTTCTTGATCTCTCTCGTTTGTTAAAAAGACGTGAAAGCCCTTCTCATCCTCTATCATTGGAAATATCCCTTATCATTTGGTTTTGTTTGTCAGGTTATCACTGAGTACAAAGACAGTCAACTCCCACTGGTGTTGGATGTCCTTGAAAAGATGCATGCACATTTAACAGCTGCTGTCGTTTCAAATGATCCGTTGTTTATTCAGGTTTCATTCATGGAATTTTCATTCTGAAATTGTTTTTATTATATATATGGCAATGTTGTTTTTAATCTGATTCTGATGATAAGTTGTTGAACTTGGTTTCCAGGAGGTGATTGGGAAAACAGTGAATGGAACCACTTATGCTGGACTTAGAGCAAGGACAACAGGGGCACCACAGAATCACTGGTGAGTGGAGTAGAAATAAATGGAATTTCCTTTCCTTTTCCTTTTATAAAACAAAACAAAACAAAAAACAAATCAATGTGTGTTGACTTGTGTTCATCAGGTTTGGGCCAGCTGGAGATCCAAGAGGAGCAGGAATAGGGACTCCTGAAGCTATAAAACTCGTGTGGTCGTGTCACAGAGAGGTCATATACGACGTTGGTCCGGTCCCACATAAATGGGAAATCCCACCCTCCACTTGAGAAAAGACATCAATACCCCTGTGCATTGCATTGCATTCAGTGATGACCCCAAGTTGACCACACCTTGACTTGTAAAAGTAGCTAGTTTTCAAGGCATCAGATATATATATGTAAGAGTCTTTTGCAGACATCTAAAGTATTGGGAATTTGGGATTGTATCATGGACATGGTAGTAGTATGCAAACATGAAGGCACCCTAATAATAAAACATCACCCACCCTCTTTCTATCTATATTCTCATTGTTGATTTTGATTACATGACCACACGAGTTTGTAGTGCTATTATCTATAATCAGTGTCCGTTTATGCATGTCTGGGAAAACTAGTTGGGAGCTGATAGTATATATGTTGATTTTGGTTTAAATCAAGTATATCAGAATCCATGATCAAGCAACAAGCCCGTGCACATGAGATTTTAAAAGTATGCATAATTGGTTGTTGGATCAATACAATTTATTCTCTCCTTGCATAACATCTACTTGAAACTATTAGTCAAACATCTCATATACATTCTATCAGATAAAAAATAAAAATAAAATATTGTTTGTCTATATCAACCGGTCTCACAGCCAACATGGAAAAGATAAATCACAATGTTTTTAAAACAAAGAACATGGTGCCTAAAGTGAAACCTAATACATTGTTTATAATTTGAAACCTAATACATTGTTTATAATTCTCATCTCTCTGATGACCATTAAGATAATAATGAAAAACCATTCTAATGGTTATTCAAATAGTAATATGGTGAGAATTAATATTACTAAATCTTTATATGGCGAAAATTATTTTTTAAATCTTCTGCATATCAATTAAATTTACAAAAATTAGTTGGTGACTTCAAATATTTTTGATAAAGATAAAATATAAGAATATATTAATGATCAATGTTAGTAAATAATGAAAGCTAATGTGACATCAAAGTTAAAAGTTATCAAATCAAATATTATATGTTTCAATTTGTTATCAGTTTTTATCAATTCTGCAACATAATGGTTTTTCTTTTTCTTTCAAATTTATCTACAAAAAATGACAAAATGATAACAGATAAGATGTAAATACTGAATACATGATAAAATGATAAAAATAAAATAAAAAATTAAATATGGACGTAAACTAAATCGTAGCCCTAACCTAACTCCTAAGGCCCAACTGGAGCCCTGCCCATTATTCACGTTAACGTTTGCGTACTTGCTTCTTCGCACAAAGTCTCCACTCGCAGAGCCCAAAGCAGCATTACTTTACGTCGTAGGCTTCGAAACCTTCTCCACAGTCGCCGACTCGCGCAGCTCCGCCGTTCATAAACCCTTCTTTGTCTCAAGGTTTGTGTCTCTACGACCTTTATTCACGATGTCTATGCTCGAACTAATTACCAAAGCGTCAGCTACACCCGAACAGCTACCTTCAGATTCACAATACCCGATAGTTCTTAATCCAGACCCTATTCTGCTCAACTTGAAACCTCAAACCCAAGAATCGAATGACGTTTCGTTCGTTAAACGTGTTGAAGGATGGAAAATTTCTCAAACGGATACGGAGATTATAGAGTTAGGGCAAAACTTCTATAAGAAGTTGAAAATTAAGCTAAAAAACCTTAAATCGTTCACTAAGGTTGAGTTCATTAGCATGTTGACTTCGTATCTGAAGAAGAACAGCGAGAAACTCGGAATTTCAGTAGTGGTTGAACAGAAGGACGAGAGTTATACTAAGGCGCTTGTAGTTTCAGTAGCGATTGAACAGAAGGGCGAGGGTTATACTAAGGCGCTTATACAAAAAATAGGTTTTTTAATGGGTGAGGCTGTTGTAGGTTTAGTATTGGAGGCTTGTTTTGCATTCGAAATTTGGGAGATATTAGAAACTCTGATCGTTGGTGGTCTTATTGAGGGTTCGAGTTCTAGGAAGTTAGTTCATAATTTGATTGAGAAAAAGAGGTCTGATTTGGTTTGTTTGTGTGTCAAGCATGTCTCTGATCTTCAATTTTCTGACATCCTTTCCGTTTTGAAGTTCTTCCTTTCTCCACCTAAAGATGCTTACGACACCATGGCTTTCATAAGGAAAGAATGGGAGACCGAAGCTTTGTCCGCCATTGAAATGGCAAAAGACAAAACCCTTGCTGAAAAGACATTCAACTTGGCAAAAGATGCTGCTATTTTACTCATGATGGCTCATGATGAGTTTACAACCAGTGAATTGTGCTTGCATTATCTTCTTTCATCCCCAAATCTTGATGATGTAATATTCTCAGCTTGTATTGGTAACTTAAATGGTTCAGAGATTATGGGTTTCGTGCGTTATTTGAAGAAATGGTTGAAGAAGTATCAAAAGTTCCCACAAGCATCTTCTTCTTCAATTCCTAAAGCTTCATCTTTACATTGGCTTAAAGTTTTTGATTCAGTTCCTTCACTTGAAAATGTTACCAAGTGCTTTGGGTTTGTTCTTGATGAACATTTCTCTTCATTGGTATTGCACCCGGAGTTTTGTGAGGAGGTGAAATCAATAGAGTTGGTTGTGAATTCTTTGGCCGCAGAAGCAAGGATTTGTTGCAAGTTGGCAAATTTGAGTAAATTGATGTTGAAGGTGCGTAATATTAATTTTCTTGCATTGAAATTATTCTTTTCATTCACAAATCATAAATCATATTCTCGTAAAACAATTCACTTTTTAATCCATTTATGTTTAGGTTTGATGTTTCTTGTCTTATGAAAACCAATTTGCAGATATGAACCATTAGGTTTCTGAAGCAAGTATCATCACAACAAAACAGGAAGGTATAAACTTCAGATGGAGCTATTTTGTGTTTTGGCCATACAACTTATTGTTTGTATTAATGAAATTTTGATGAGAGTTTAGAGTCGCAGAATGTAAAATGGAGAACACAGTCGATTTTTTTGTCCAATTTCTATATTTGTATCGAGGATTTTTCAAAATTGAAACCAAAATTTTCCTTTCCTAGCCTTTCTTTGTTGGACATTCTAAATATTAACAAATTCTGATATGAACCCAAAATTTGACCTATTAAACCTGCTACAGAGGTCATCCTGGTATTTTCTGAACATTTTAAGTAATTTGTTACCTTTTGATAAATATATTTTTAGTTCCCCCATGTTTTTTTAGCATTATAAATAGTTTGTTATCCTGACATCGACCCTTGAACTGAAGACTAGTGGTGTGCTTGAAATTGTATTGACATAAGTTTCGGCAAAGAACATGATTATTTAACAAAAAAGGTTTTAATGTTTTTCCTTGCATAATGTTAAGTTAACTTTCCTTCTATCAACTATTTGGCCTAATTTTTTGCACAAGGACATTGGCCTACAGACACATCACACCTAAACTTTTGTTTGATATATGCAATCATCTACCTCAGTTTAAACTAAGGCTTATTTTCAATTTCAGTCATGTAGTGTTTGCCAATTAATTAAGGGAAACAATAGAACCAAGTTTAAATCGTCTACTACATACATGGGTATCAATACCGTTTATTTGAAATGATTATTTGTTGTACTTCCAAGCTACATACAAACTAAAAGGCATATGTTGGCGTCATTCATCTTTCAACATCTTGCAACAACCCTCGTGTTGTCAAATTTCTCAAAGTAAGTCTCGTAACCATTCAACACAACATAATTTGTGAACAAAATTTAAGTTGTGCGGGTGACTCAAATATGTCATTAACCTTTGGTACCATCTTGTTCCATCTGGTGCTTGGATCATACATTATGTATTTCATTTTTACTACCTTCTCAACCTTTTTATGACTTTGCCATTTCGTTAGCATGGTACACTTGTGCTCTAATTTCATCACACATACTTGATTTTCATAAGTTTTCATCACCAAGTAAAATATTGAGGATGATGTCCTTACACTTATCTAGCATGGTAACGAACTCGTCATCTGGTTTATTGTACATGTAGATCCCATGAAGCACAAAGTTCATTTCGTTCAACCTAGAGAAAAGGCTCGTGTATAAAATAAAATGGATCATTACAATCTTCTTTTGATGAAGTCAATCGTCAATCGTATCTCCTACATAAATTGAACATTTTACAAACCGAATTTATTTTGTAAAAAATTAATTATGGAGTCTAGGAAACTTACTCTTTGAACACCAATATTCACACAATAAAGCTGATTACCCAATATATTGTTTGCTTCAGGTGCATTAATCAACTTTGTAACCCTTTTGATGTTTCAAATACCCTATTTTTGTGATGATGGTGTGCATTTACTCAAGAATTAAAGCAAGCGTACATACATATTTGGTGAAAAAAATATATGTGGGAGCTTCTCAATGCATAACGTCTCCAAACGAAGACATGTGAACATAATTAAAGGGTTTTAATGGTCATGTAGGCTTCTACCATGGCCTTGGTTAGCTAACCTGATAAAAGGTATTTATGACAAAAGATTGTCAATTATTAGGCATTAATGAACATAAAAATTAACTTAGTGTAAAATTGTTAAAAATGACAAATTAATGAATTATAGGGCTTTTGTGTCGGTATCCATTTTTTTAAAATTATTATTTAAAACACCCAAAACTTGGTAAAAATGGGAATGATTTCGTCAAAATTAGTTGGATTATTGTCATCAAAACCCTACAAACTCTTGATTGTGGTTTTAAATGGTCTCTGGATTTTTTTTTGTGCATTTTAAGCCATTGAACTATGAAATTATACGCCAAAAAACCATTTTGCAAAATATGAAGGAGTTATCCTGTAAACTAAGCTGATGTGGGCTCAAAAGGCTTATGTACACCTTGACCACATGCATGCTGATGTGGACTCAATCGAAGGGTGATGTGGGCTTTGACCTAAACTTAGCCTAAGAGCGTCTGTAACATCCCAAATTTTACCATAATCAAATACAATCATCTTAACCAGGGTATCAAAATGCGGAATCATAAAAATCTACAAGTTTGAGTGTACTGTCTAACCTTTGCCTTTCCGAAATCATCCAAAGTACATGAAACACAATAATTCACAACTATAAGCACGAAGCTTAGTGAGTCCTTCCCGAAATATCCATACAACACATCATAACAAATAATTATGGGTTATCAACAACCCTGGAAATTATCAGCAATCCCAATTGTAACACCCAATTCTAGGTAAACGCCATTTTAGAATTTCAGCTTTAATTCTCAAGCTTAAACCTTTCTCACGTCGTGAGCACTGAGGTGTCACAACGTGAGCTCAGTTGGACGAATCGCATATATTTCCATTCTCACGACATGAGCCCTTATAGGTCACGACATGAGACGCGACTGCGAGGAAACCCTAATTTTGGAGATTTTATTTCGTATTTAAAGGAAGTAAGGGCTAGGGTTAGCACACCCTCAACCTCCATCACCTCCTTACTCTCCCCTTTGAAACCCTAGCAACCATATTTGATCTCGAGCTCATTTGTGGTGATTCTAGCCAAGAAGAAAAAGAGGAAGTGCATCTAGTTCGTCCTTTTGTGCCCTAGTTTGTGTTTGGGACATGCATGTCCAAAAAGCCATGATTTTTATGATATTTTTGGAGTATCTAAGACATTCTGGAAGTTTTGGGTGTTTGTCCAAAAGGGGTTAAGAGCTTAATGCATCTAGTTGTTCATAACATTTCTCAGGACGTGAGCATATATAAGATGATGTAGTGTTTGGAATCCATAAAGTTGCCAAGTTTATGGATCTCCAATGTCCCTCGGGTAATATAAGTGCTAGATCTGGAGTATGGTTGAGTTTTAAGACTCTTGCACATGGCCGGTCCATTAATTTATGATGCTCGGGGCAAGATAATTAAATAATGCCCTTATTTTATATAGAATAGTGCCAACAAATTTATAGTTTTTTTAAAACATGCAAAAAGTTTATACTTAAAGAAAATGCATATAAATGATCAATTATTTAAAACATTGTCTGCCTGTCGGTTAACGTATGAGGGTAACTGAATCAAAATGAATTAACTGTGGCATAATTAAATACATGTATCTTGCCTTTATGAATATAAAAGAAATCGTCATTTAACAACAAAAGTTTTTAAACACAAAATTTTCCAAACTACTAACCTATACATTCTCTTGTCCAGCATCTTCTATGACAAACATCTGCGGTTTTCAAAAGAAGAATCTAAAGTCACAAAGAAAAAAAAGGAACTTAAATTTAACCACCACATAAAAAGCATAAAATCTTAAAAGAAAAAATACAATCTCAAAAAGTGTTATTTGTATATTATCAATAGTTAAATAAAAAAATAAAATTTCAAGCTTGTTTATGGAAAACAACTTAATAATAAGGAGGGAGATAGAGATGCTTGTCAAAGACATAAAATTTGTAGACAAAACATAAATTATCTTGAAATTACAATAAAGATACATTAACATGCTACATTTACTAGGAGAATTGTCATGAGTATTAGCAAACAAAAAAATTTATTTGAAAGTAGTAGAGTAAAACAAGCCATGATCAAATTTCAACATCGAGTTCCATTGTAGGCATTGTATTGGATGTTTCCTCCACTAAATGATTATTCAAGTAACTGAAAACTATCCAAAAAAACATTATTCTATATTTCATGATTCTCTAGATATAATACTATTGAATACATAAACTACCAATTCATAGCCAATCGGCTAAATATTGATAACCACATAAAGGTAGAGGAAGACATTCATATGAATACCTGCCACGATTGAGACTTGAGAATGTCGATTTATAGAGGACGAGAGAGGAACTCACAAATAAAAATCATAAAAATTAACCCAACCCCCATCTCTTTCAATCAAAATGAGATCTTCATAAAGAGTGAAAGAACTGGTGACTTTAATTAGCCCCAGAGAACCTTGCGTTTCTTTAAGATATGAGATCAACAAGACCATTTGAATCATCTTCCCCAGACATCAATCTCCTTAGACGCCTCGTCTTCTTCAGCTTTACTTATTGGGGGTGTTGCTTAGGAGATCGAGAAGTCGGAAGCGTGCCAAATCTGAATTTCAATTGCCGCCTTCAGTTTTACATCTTGGACTAGGCGCGCTGCCCTTTGCATGATGAGTTTTCAAGGACGGGACCTTTTAGTGGATCAGCCCAAATGACTACACATAACAGACTTTTTAAACGTGATGCCCCTTGATGAGTTGTTGCCCTGGGCAATGGCCCAGCTCGCCCTGGGCTTGGGCCGACCCTGCTCTTGCATGAGCTTCTAGGGTTATTTCTTCCTTTTGTGCCCTAGTTTGTGTTTGGGACATGCATGTCCAAAAAGCCATGATTTTTATGATATTCTAGAGTATCTAAGACATTCTGGAAGTTTTAGGTGTTTGTCCAAAAGGGGTTAAGAGCTTAATGCATCTAGTTGTTCAGAACATTTCTCATGACGTGAGCATCCATGGCTCATGACGTGAGAATGGGTCACCCCGACTATTTTTGTCTCATTAGGTCACGGCGTGACAGCTAAGGGTCACGACGTGACGACAAGCTGTGAGATTTTGAATAAAGATTTTGACCTTTGACCGTTGACCAAGTTTGACCTAGGGGCATTTTGGGTAGTTTGAGCTGTAGATTGAGGTTTAGTCACTGTTTGTTGTATATGTGACCTGTAGAGTTGGATTTTGGAGCAACATTCGTTTCTACTATCTTTTCCAACTGTGAGGTGAGTTTTCCTCACTTTACTTGTGGGTCGAAGGCACCGATGCTGACCTAGTAGATTGTGTATTCTGGTTTAGAATGTTGCTATGATGTAGTGATCTGTTAAGATTTACATGATTATCTGTTTGTTGTTATGTGTTTTATCTGTTATACATGTCGACATAGTGTGGTTGGGTTGAGATTGTACTGCTTTGTGCTGCCAGTCAACAAACCTGGGCAATCCAACCAGGAGGTTGTGGGCCAGAAGGGGACAATCCAACCAGGAGGTTGTGGGCCAGGGGCAATCCAACCGGAAGGTTGTGGGACAGGGGTAATCTAACC